CGGTGTCATTGCGTCCATTTAGCGGCTACGTTGTTATCTTCGCTTACATTAATTATATAAGTGCGCCTGCTGCATGGCCCCTAAGGAGAACTCAGGTAGCTCAAGCTACCTTTCGTGATCAGTGCCATTCACCACCCCAGGGATTTTGCGTCCAAGAGTCTTCTCCTTGCCCAAGCTGAACCTGGGTTGCGTTTTTGATCGTTTTTGGATGCAACCTCTCTCTCTCTCTCGGAACCTGTGGTGGACACAATGAGCACAAACCGAAGCTCCTAAGTCCTATACAATGAGTACAAGCCTCAAATCTGCTCCCAGCGGCTACATGCCTACGCAACCACTGAACTAAAGCATCACCTGCAGTCGTCTGGGTTAACAAGGCCAAGCGTGTCAAACCCGAATTGCCGGATCGGCACGGGATGGACCAGGAAGCTCTGGAAGAACTATCGACTACTAAGACAAAGAAAGACGCATCAGCAAATGGGAGAGCTCAAAGAAAGACAAGCAGCAGGCCGAATGCCATCTCACTACCACCCTTCCAGTACCTGAGCTGTCTACTGTTGATTTTGTCTATTTCGTTTCTGTGCCAATTGGATCGGTGCAGTCTCAACACCAGCAATGCAGCCCACATGTGGCATCTTGAAGATCCTGAAGACCAAAAAAATCCAAAAAAGGCCAACTGAAATGTGGGCAAGTCACGATGTCTGGAACCTCAGACTTCGAGTTGGTGGATGAAATCCGGGTAGGACGGGAAACTCATTGTAAATCTATTGCATGCCAATTTGCTGGAAGGAAGGGGAACGGGGTAAGACCGGGCAGGCTGTGAGTCAGTGAGGAAGCCGTGGGAGCTATGTGGCATATATATATATATTTATATTGTATTGTATATCAGGTAGCTAATTGGTAGTAAGCTTACTGTTAAAAACTCCAAGCAAGTAAGCTTGCGCAGTAACATTGCATTGTCCCAAATCTTTGTGTTCTGCACCATATCTGTATACAGTATACACGTATATCTAGAGCCGTACAAACCTTTGGACTGTAGAGCTTCCCCTTCTCCCTTCAATTCAATTTAATGCTCCCAAAGCCCCCTAGTTCTCCGGTTCTCGACAATTGCCCAAACGCCGTGTTCGACATTTGTGCCAAAACTTGACAAGGGGGGCAAAACATGTTTCATGCCAGCATCCAGCAGATTCATCTGTCGCATGCTCAAAAGCCGCTACGGGGCTGCAGGAAAGATCTGTATTCTGCCTAAGCCGTCCAAGTCAAGTAAGACACCTGAAGAGGGTGGCCCTAGCAAGCCATCTCACTTTCCAACAAATATGTTTGGGGACTGCTCCATCAGCAGTTAATGCAAACCCCGGATTAATCTGCCCCCCCCCCACGTAGAAGGTCAACAAGGTCAAGAAGGTATGAGATACCACTCATGAGGTCCACTCCCCCTGAATTATCGGCTCAGGGAGCCATCGTAGTCGCAGCCGTCGTCGGTAGTAGGTAGCAGGTAGCAGGTAGCAGGTAGTACGTAGTAGGTAGTAGGTAGTAGTAGTCACAACAAGTTTAAACAAGCACAAAGAAAAGGCCAGGGACACAGGATCAAATTAATAGGGGGTAGTAGTGCAGATTATTGATGGGGGACCGGCCCTTGTGAGGGGTACCCTTTGTGAGCTTGTCAAATGATTGTTTTTAGTTGTTTTTTTTAATAAGGCAATTTATAGGCCCTGAGCCCTAGACATTTTTAAGGATTTCATCAAACATGTAGTAGGTAGTAGGTGGTGATGGTGGTGGTGGTAGCAGTAGCAGTAGCAGTAGCAGTAGCAGTAGCAGTAGCAGTAGCAGCAGCAGCAGCAGGAGTAGTAGTAGTAGCAGTGGTAGTAGTAGCAGTAGTAGTAGTAGTACGAAAAATTGACCTGGTTGTGGGATCGGATTAACTGGGGGGGATTGTTGGTAGAAAACTAGACCATAGGGGGGAAATCAACAGCCAATAATACTTTTAATTTGGGCAATTTCCGGCGACTTTGTGGGCTCGGATTAACTAGGGGGGATTTATTAATCCTGACTTTGCATTGTATACCGTGGGTATCCATGAGTTTGAAGTCGTCCATTTCTTTTTGGCCCCGCAGGCAGCACGGCAAGGGCTGCGTCAATGAGCCTGAGGGGCATGAGACCCTTTTGGACTCACAGCTTTTCTCAGCGTTCGATCGAATGATTCGTACTAGTAGGGTCCTCTTGTTCTGAGTGCCATAAACTTGTCTGTGATCACCGGTGCTCTGGCATGGCCTCAAAGGAAGTCAGCCCCAGCACGAGAGAGCCAAGGCTCACCTTTGGGATGCGCAACTACGATCCACCTGAGCTGAAAACACTGCCAAACAAGTTCTCTCACAATTGGCTTCACAGGCTTTAGCCTTGGTAGTTCCCAAAGTCTTGAATGCATGACTATTTGATTGATTAGATCGGACCTGCGCATCGCTTGCAAATTGCACATATTCTTGCACAGAACGACACCTTCTAGACAATTGGCTGTGGCGGACACGTTTGTCCAAGTGGCTCGTGCGCTTGTGGCTGATGACTTTTCTCTAGCTGGTCCAATGCCTCTGGTATGCGAGGCATGCACTCCCGTCGTTTCATTGTGTGTATATCAGGAAAAGCAGTCACACTCAAGCCAAAGACCTCCATCAAAAGTGTGAATACTATATACATCAAAAGTCCATGCAAAGGCCTCATCTGATGCCAAGGGGAAAACATATCTCCACCGCATTGGATGGCCTGAGTTGTGTTCTTCAAAGGTGCATGGCATGCTGAAATGACAAGTGCAGAACAAACAACGCCATCCATTACCAACTTTAGAAGTGTTGCGGGATGCTTCATAATCTGGTAGGACAAGTAGCTGATGACTTTTGCACAGGAAAGGCCCACTCTTTCCACCATGTCACAAGCCTCCTAGGTTTGCAGGCAGGGGTCTGAGTTAATATTGTGGGACTCTGCGGCAGCTCAGACAGCTTCGGCCGCAAAAATGTTGTGGATGCAAAATGGTCTCAAAACATGCTCCTTCTCGGTGTAGTGCTTGGTGCGTGCGTAGACCCGAAAAACGTTGTGCGCTTCTTCTTCTGGATGCTCCGACAAATAGTCGACATATTGGCCGAGCCCACTCTCCGCTCCACCTGCTCAAACTCTCACGTCCTGGTTCCTGCCTCCTTGTTAAATTAGCTGTCTTCTGAGTTTGTTTGGGCTGCCTTGAACACTTGAACACCAGTTGCTATTCATCCTGGCACTCTTTAAGACTTTCGGGGGATTGACATTGACATCTTCATTAAAATCATATTATATATATATATGTGCTCAACCTTCTAATCCGACATGCCATTCTGTTGTTCGTGGTCTCGGAGACCCGATTTTTCACTATCCCTTGGCCAGCCGCCAACACGACACGCGTCATCATGCGTCACACTTTGAGAGTTTCGAGCTTCTCTCGGTCTGTGCCTTTAGAACAAGTCTGCAGCAGAAACATGAAGCACTGTAATTAAACTACTTTGGAAGGCTCCAGTTTCAGGTTTATTGTTGGAACTGGAGTAGTAGCTGGTCACCACGACTGTGGTAGCTCATTTTCACTTGTATAGTGAAACCACTTGGGGTGCAGAAAGCAAGCTCTGCCGTGAAAAGAAATGAGCAACCCATATCAAATCATAGTTTGGGTAAGTCCTGTTGCTTTTGGTGTTTGTTCGGTCCTGAATCGGAATTTGCCATCTAGCCGTTGGACATCAACATTTCGTGCGCCCAACACTATCATGCAACCACAGCTAGCTACCAAAGCAAACAACTCGGAAGACACAATTGACACCACCAAGACCAAAAGTGCCACACCCCTGAAAACCGATGAAGGAATGAAGGAACATATATTCTCACCAGGAATTGATCAACAACTATCAAAAAACAGGTAACTACGGCCCTCATATTGTTCGCACTGTGACACAGTTGACATGGTTCCGGGAGCAAACGCCGTGGCGACTGTGGAAAAAATGGCACCTTGCTGTTGGTAGAGGGCCCGCACTGCACGGAAAGACTCAGCGCTCGGCACCAACAACAGCAGCGTAGAGCTCGGCACCTCAAAGAGCTTGAATGATGAAGGCAAACTGCACAGGTTGGGAAACCGCATGCGATCCAAAAGATTCAACAAGAACTATCAAGAACTAACATATCCATGACCCCTACGTTAGATGAGGCCCTGCCCCTCCAGCAAAAAAAAGGAGGGTACCTACCACCTTTTTTTGGAAATTGCTTGAGGGTACCTCTGGGCCTCAATTAACTTTCTATACCAGTAGATTTTGCTTGGGGTGGGCCCCCCTAACAATCCTAACACACCGACTACTCACAAACCACTGAATGAATTTTCACTCTTTTCCTCGTCCCCGGCCCCCATCGCACAGTTTGTTTGAGACGCTGGAAATAGGAAAAAAACGCAGGAAAACATACACACAAATCGCACAAAACCCTACCCATAGGATAGGGACCTCACCAAGAATGAAACATGCTCACGCAGTTCATGCGGTTCCCTAGAACATCGCAAACCTCTGCACACTAAAAACCAGGCACGATAATAGCCAACTACAACGCATGAGAACCAGGCAGGAAAGTAGCCACCACTCAAAACCAGGCAGCAAAAATAATTCAAGGGGGTGGTCTCCGGCGTGATAAGGACACCCCGGGAAATGCGATGCATCACCAGCTCCACACTAAAAACCATGCAAGCAAGTAGCCACTACACAAAAAAAGCAGGCAGGAAAGTAGCCACCGAACTCAAAACCAGGCAGGGTCATGTGTACTGTCTACTTGAGAAATAATCAAGAGGTGGAGAGCTTGCACGCCCCTCAATTGATAATCAAAATGAGTTAGGCCATCAACTAGAACACTATGAGAACCGGCCTGAGCATGAGTCAGTGCGGTGGCTACTTTCCTGCCTGGTTTTTGTGAGGCTGGTGATGCATCACGTTTGCGAGGGTATTCATTGTATTCATTCGTTGGTCTACTTTGCCTCCTTCAGAAACTTAACTTTCCCAGTCTATGCTTGCCAACCAAATTAATATGCCCCTCCTCCGGAGGCAAACCTATTATCCGACTTAGGTTTCCACCAAACATGTGCGACAAATTGTCGGAACAAAAAACACCTTGATTGGGAATAAGTAATTGCTGGGTCACCCCCCTCCAGTTAGTTTTTTAGTGGAGGGTCATACACATCATATCCTATCGTCCTATCCTTCTAAGTTGGGTTAGCTTTCCTCTTTGGCAATGGTTGAGGCATATTGAACATAACATTCATGCCGCTGTGGGCAGCTGCTGTTCGGGGCAGCTGTGACCTGCCGCCAAAGCGCTGGACGCAACATTTCAGCTTCTCGACGGAGGATGTTCCTGATCAATGACCAAAACAACACCCTCGACAAGGGGTAGTTGTGATGGATGCGGAGGGCTGTATCCAATCTGCTGTATTGTCTGAATGAGTTACATGTGCCACACGACACCTGAAAAGTAGTTGAAATTTGTTTCATTTGGCTCAAGAAGCCTTTTGTTGGCTGAGCTCCTATTCTTTCCTCTTGGACACTGGGCCAAGCATCTCCCTTGCTTCTTTGTTCCTTGGTTCAATGTAAATGGACTCGGAAGCACTGGAATGGGAGCTGTGGACTGGTTGGATTCCTTTCGATCGACCGCCGAGCGACGGGGAGATCAAAACGTTGAAGCTCGCCACCAAATCCGCCTTCTCTCGGGTTCCAGGCACCTCCGGCCCACAAAAGACCTTCCCATCCGTCTCTGTCTTGGAACAGGGCTGACCCAGGTCCACAGCGGGACGGATCTCGACCTCGGTTTGTGGTTTCGGCTTGGTTGATGGCAACGCAGCAACTTACATACATACCGCTTATACCGCCACCGGTTATAGATTACATTTAGAATTGAATCGGCATGCATTGAAACCATACCCCCCCCCAAAAAAAAAACAAGCTGGATAGGTCTGAAGTAAACTTGTCTTCTCCCCAATTCTCCGACTAGGCTTCAGCCTTGACACGTGATGATGCTTGTCTTGCAGCTCGGCTTGATTCTCCTTTGCCTGGAGGGCTCAAGAAACGAGCCACATGTTCACCGCAAGTCTCGATTGATCTCCACCCTCATTGGCCTCTTTCCCGTGATCGGCCTTTTCCAACAAGTTCTGGGATTGATCCAGAGCAATCACATGAGAGAAGCGGCGGCTGAGTCCGCGAAGCCACAGGCCTGGAGAGTATGACAGCATCTTAAACTTACCCCTATGTTAGATTGGCACTGGGAATGATGATTTATGTTGATTTTACTTGGGGGGACCCCCTAACTGGCCGAGTTCTCACAAACCCCTGCCTCTCAATTCCTTTCTTCCGACGCATAGATTGTAGGGTGGCTGGGTGTTCACTTCCCCCAATGCAACAAAAGTCGTAGCCCGCAATTTCTCTTGCCAGTTTTTCAATCTTTTCCATCAGTTTCATGTCTGTTAATGTCCGCTCTCATTGGTTCCCGCCCCATCCAGACCTGAAGCATGCCCTCTAAATTAAACAACCCCTCCTCCAATTATATAGTTTCTTCCGCAACATCTCACACTGGGAGATGCCAATTAATTGCAATTTTCCAACTTCTCGGAGAAGAACACATAACAGTTGATTAAGCAACACTGTTAGCTGAGCACAGTCATAAATACATAGTATATATATGTTTATGTAGTGGTTGACATATATACATACATCCAACAAATCATTTTGTATAGAATCAACTTAAACATGTCCCTTCAAAATCAACTCACACATATTCAAAACCTTGAACAATTCTTTGGACTGCATGACCTGTGCAACCCCTTTCCATGTCTGAAGCGCCTGGCCCGCAGCCCGCATCGATGGCCAAAAGATTGTCCCCAGGGATGAAGCCCTCAGGTACTTCCTCGTGTCGCCCTGAAGGCAAAGGAAGTCCGCGGCTGTGGGGGGCCCACACCTACCAACATTTCCAAACTGGGAAATATATATATATATATATATGGACATATGATATAATTGATATACAGTATCAAAATGTGATCTTTTGATCCTTCTTTATCATAAGCAATTCCCTCTGGCGTTGCTTGGCTCCAGTAGGATTCTAGCCTTTTGCAGCACATTCTCCATGACCAGGTGTGCACACTCCATTCTGCCAGTTCTGGCCAGCTTGCGCCCGCTTCGCAGCTGCATCTATCTCGTCACGAATGATGCCCTGAGACAAATGAGGCTGGTGATGGGAAAGAAAAAAGAACAGCACACATAGTGGGAGTGGTATGCCAAATTGGCTTGGCTTGACCCCAAACATTTCAAGCTTTCCCTGTACAAACACATCGACTTGGCCTTGTCCTCTTCGCTTGACTTGTAAATATCCTTCCAGGGAATGAACAGCGACCCAACGCCCCAGCAAGGACATGCAACCAAATGCATGCCTGAAAAATGTCATGCCGTGTCCAAAGCACCTCTTCATATGTCTGAGCACGCCTTTGCCAGTAGTCATAACTTCCAGCATCTGGCCTGTGGATTGCTCGTGTTGGAGTCTAACATCTGAGCGTGCAAGCCATTCGTCTGGCTTTCCCTCATCAAACAAATCATGGGACCTGCCAGAAAAAAGTCTTGGTCAATCAAATTACTCTGGAAATGCCGCCCTGAGGCCTCTGATCCTCTGCGAAACCTTGTGGCACAAGCATGGAACTTGCCAAAACATGGACAAGTAGCCTGTTGGAAGAACAAGCACGGACAACGGATTTTTGCTTCTCAAGTCAAGCACAACCCAAGAGCAACTCAATCTCAAATCTCCAACAAGCAAGTAACTTTCAAGTTCTCGCTGCTTGAAGCACTGCAAATGCTTCTGTGATCACTCTCCGACTCCTAAATGCTTCTGTGCAGCTGCTGTGGTGCACATCTCCCAACGGCAGCAGCGTCTTCAGTATATGCCCAAGGCGGCCCATCGCGCACAGGCAACAGCGGCCACGGCTGTTACTCGTGGCATCGAAACAAAGTCAAAGGCCAATGCTAGTAACTAATAGGATGATCTAATAGGCTAGCGGCTAGGTCTCCAAAATCATAGACAGATTGGCATCCCGAGGAAAAGCTGACAACCATCCATGAAAGGACGACTTACCCCTTTGTTAGTAATGATATGTGCTCTAGTTGTCAGGAACCAATGACGTGACAGCAGCAAATTGCGGCAAGGAAGAACTCACCGATGGACGATCGAACGGTCTCGGATCGACGATCGAACTGGTTCTCGTGTGGCTTGCATCGCAGGGGCTGGAAGACGGTGGTTCCCAGGAACAAGCTGCTGGAGTTGGCAAACTCATGCATGGCCTGGAGTGCGGCCAAGCGCGGGCTCACATGTGCTCGTGCCTCTCAACACAACTGAAGGGGGAAAACATAGGGAAAGCTAATCTTCTCCGACAATGATCTCGTCTGGACAAAGTGACGGACTAGGTCAAACTCATCTGACATCCTGGTTCTTGCCCTATTCAAATTCAAGTCCAGTGACTTCAGTGACTGCAAAATGCCAGCACCCCTCGGTCACATCAAGTGCTACGAGTACTGCATCAATGCTCCTGGATGTCATTCTTCAGCACGTCTTGCGTCTGCCCAAGATCTCCAAATTCGCCGATAAACCAGGGCCTGGCAAACCAATGAATGCCATGACTCTAAACCTACTTCTAAACCTCTAAGAAACACATTCATCTTCCTGGAAGGTCTGGATGTAAACATGACTTACACCCCCACCTGTTTCCAAAAGGACCGTAGTTCTTGGTGATGGTCTCTTTCACGAAGGCTCAGGTAGCACTGACGTGTTTCTGTGACGTGCCAAGGTGCACCAATTCAAGCGCAGAATTCTTCGGGGCAAAGGAGGAAAAAACTGCCTTTTCCTGTGACAATGGTTGCACTTAACCAGCCAAGCTGCTCCAAGGGGCTTGCACGTTGAGAGCGTTTACCCACCTGATGTAAAAACATGTGTCCTTTTCCCAGCTTCTACCTGGCTCGCCTGAGGAATTATAGGATTTTTAGGAGTTTAAGTTTATATACCTCCATTAGGCATATGTGCTGACACTAGCTCTTGCAGCTGGATAGATTTGCATTGCATTGTCCACCAGTCATCCCTGCATCTGCAGCCACAAATACAATTTGGTGCATTAAAAATGCCTTGGTGCCCTGTGTTAATTAAAGCCATGCAATTTTACCAGCTATATAATCACATAGGAGTTGGGGCTTGTAGTTCTTGAGAGTTGTCCTAGGTTAGTTCCCAGTCATGTGTGCAATCAGTGTTATATAGCCTGAACAAGTGGAAACACATGGCATGCACGTGAGATAGGACTTAACCCTCCAAGATATATAGTCAAAATCAGGAAAACACATCTAAGTTCGATGCACTCCCACAGCAGTTAAGACACATGCCTTCATACTCCTGTGCAACCAAAGCCGCATGACATAAAATGGTCTTTAATTAGCAAGTCGTTGGTCAACTTTCTTGATTGTCGGTGACCCTTGGGGCAGGCATGGCTCATCAAACACCCACGTCTGTCCATGATCTGGCAGTCGATCATACATCGTTTCCATGCACCTTTTGTTGAAGGCATCTGCAATTTCTTTGACCTCAATGCATGACTTCCGATGTGTCTCTCTCGTGGCGCTGGAATTCCAAGTGCTAGGCTGGGGTACGAGGAATGTACTTGGCAATTGATGCATTCTCGATCACTGCAAGCATGTCCTGGCAGTTTCCGGTGGTTGGCTACTTACTTTCTATGATGTGTATGAGGATGTTCACAGGAATTGATCAACGTCTTTCAGAGTTTGGGTCAGCTCCTGGAACCCGAAGTATCCCGGGCAGTTTTTGCACTTTCCTGGCTGATCCAATGGAGCTAAGCACAAAGCTCGGCTCAGTCAATCCACACTGGGATCGAGCCAAGTCTCCATCGATAGAGTCAAGAGCCGCAAAGGACCATGTGGTTGTAAGGTTTACACCTAAGATCGCTACCCAAATTGCTGCAGCCAAACACCCACAAGGACCGAAACTGAACACGTGCCAACAACTCGTGCTTCGAACGTCGCAGAACGAGTTGGTACCTCCATTCCTCGTGCGGCACGGCAGTTCTCGTCGCCTCGGCACGGCCTGCGCTGATGTTCGCCTCCTTCTCTGCCGCCAGCAAACCATCCAGTGCCGAGATCGCCGCCTTCACCCGGCCTAAGTGGAGCTGAAGAAACAGAATGGCCACAGTCTCAAGCGATAACGTGAAATCAATTTAGGAACAAGAAGCTACTAGGGGCTCCTGGCCTTACTACTAGGAACAAGGATGCTACTAGGAGCAAAGGGCATCGCTACTAGTTACTAGGACGCTACGAACGGGGCTCCGAAATGAATCGAATTGTGTAGATCGATCTCCACAGGGCGAAGGGTGGCTCCCAAAAAAGCGTTCACATCATGTCACCAGACTGGATACCTCGCCTCTCGTCGCGCTCCCACATGCATAGCATGCAAAGCATGCCACTAGAAACACAAGGCTCACACGGAAAAATCTCTCGGTGCAGCCTCAGGGGCACCAAGATGCCTTCTTGGGGCATTTTGGATCGTTGCCAAAAAAGTCAGGCTCCTGAACCCACATTGAGGCTGGTTCACCAGGAGGTTCGAAGGCTTGAAGTCTTCAACTACTCACAGGTTCTGTTCAAATCAGTTGTTGGCCTCTTGATAAGACAAGGTGCATTGAAAAGAATCACAGTGTGGATTGCAGGGTGCCATTCTTTGCCTGCAAGCGGCACTTTTGCCAAGCACCCAGGACTGTGGATGAGAAGGTCACCCTTGTTCTCTCGCGGTCAGCACCACTCACAGTCTCTCCGTGGGCTCTACAGTCTTGCCATTTGGTCCGCTGTCCATTCTGGGATAATACTCCAAACTGAAAACTACTTTGGTGATCCTGCCCTTTGCAGTTGGGGAGGCAAGTGTGCTAAGAAGGTTTGCTACTGCATTTCCGCATTATGAATAATGCGCCAATGCAACGCACTGAAACCAGAACTGCACAGGCTGAAGTGACATGTACAAACTACACAAAACCAAAAAACACATCAAGAAAAGGGGAAACGGCTGCCGCACCCTTTGCAAACCCCACGGAAAATCCAGTCTTGATCACCTTAGCTGGTTGCAAGTAGCGATCGGATAATTGACACAATCAAGCAATAACACGTGATAGCAAGTGTAGCTTCATTGACAGTTACATACTGTTGATGGAAGAATGCACCACGTGGAAATACCCATCACATCGCAAATAGAGTTCCGTCCCTGGGCTGGTGCCAGGACCTCTTCCATCAATAGTCACATCTTTTTCTTAGGTATCGCTGAGCCAAGTCTCCTCCTTGACCGTCTCATAGCAATCAAAGTCGGTGCAGTTGTGAATCGCCAAATCCGAATCAACTCCCGGCAAAACACTCAAGCCTCCCAATGGAGCGTTTGTCTGCTTGTCTGCTGAGGTAGCATCAATTAGCGATGTGGCTGTGTGGCTAAGGTCAATTATACCAGACCCCAAACAGTTTCAAAACGATTCGTTGGGACCAATATTGGTCAAACATGATTTCTTAGTACACCCTACCTTCCCCCCAAGAGCAAATTGCTTAATCAATGATTTTTGTCGGCATCAACCTCGCTAATTGTTCGACCGCAAGAGACGACAAGAGAAGAGCAGGACAAAAGAAGACAAGAGGAGGACAAGACCCGGCCACAGAGCCCGGCCACAGAGCGCGGCCACAGAGGCCAGGGGCGCGGCCAGTCAGTGCGGCCAGCTCTTTTTGTCTAAGATAGATAGAACCCCAACAGTAAACTGTTTGGGAAATAAAATGTCAATAGCCAATAGATGCCAATAGCATCCAATAGCCATGTCAACATCCAACTGGCGTAAGCCGCACGACAAAGTATGTAGGCCAAGCAGCCATTGCTGTGAGCTGCATCCAGAAAACTGCCTGAGTTGGAGTTGGCTGCGGTATGACTTCTCTTTAGCCCCAACCAATAGTTTTAGACATGTTTTGAAGTCTACTTTAGGGGCTGAAGGCATGTTCCGCTTCCTACAAATCATACAAATCAAATGATGATTGCCCGAGCACCAGCTCCCCGAAAAGGTCCTTCCTAACTAACGATGGTCTTTTTGGGGGTTTGTGTGCTGGTTTTATCTAGTTTTGACAGTGGTGCCTTTTCACCCTGGTCGTTAGCAAACATAACTAACCTTCAGCAAGCGCGAGCATTTGTTTTACGCGCCGTTCACGCACCGAGGCATCATAGGTGATCGCTACTAGTAACAAGAAGCTACCAGGGCTCCTGGCCTTACTACTAGGAACAAGAAGCCATTAGGGGCTACTGGCATCGCTACTAGGAGCATGGACGCTACTAGGCTAAGGGTGGATTCACGCTAAAGGCGACTGGGATCATGGAGTGGTCCCTTGACAAACGTGACATGTCGGTCCGTGCCTTTCTGCGGGCAAGTGGCCGTGGTCAGTTCGTGGCCCATACCCGAAGGAATGGTAAAGACGGATAGCACTGCCTCCTGCGTTTGCTGGACACTTTCATCGAATTGAGCTGGTAGATGTGAATCTCTGAGTACCGCGCCAAGCTTCTTGATGACATCCAGATCGTTGCGGCCCTCTTTGCCCCACTGCTCCTTGTAGCCAAGCCTTGAACCGAGCCACGAAGGAGCGAATTCATATGCCGACGCCGAATTGGACTTGGGAAGTCCCCTGAGCCTGCGGTCTTCGCTTACTTGCACTTGCTGTCCATCTTAGAATCTCTTAATTACTTGGCTTTAACTTTAACTCATATAGCAATCAAGAGCAATCAGGCCTTGAACCAGTTTGTTTGAAACATTGTCCCAGCAACATGTTTGTGACTAAAACCTCATGAGACATTGAGCAGTTGGACAACGAAACCGAAGGAACGCAGCCTACGCTTGGCTGCTCGTGCAGAACATCTAAGCTAGTCATCTCGGATCCGAGCAACTGCATCACATCATTGTTTGGCAACTTGTCTTTGCAGGAGCCGGTAGTGCATGGCAACCTCGGTTAAGCCACAGCCTTAAGTACCAATCGTTAAAGTAGCTACTATCATTATGCCAACCCCTTAAGCCCTAAAGGTTTACAAACAGCTGAGCCCACTTTTACTTTCTACCTGTTGACCTGCACGGAAGCAAAACATGGCCTTTTGGAGCACGGCTTTACTCCATTCTCCTCCACTTCCATATCTTGGAGATGGAAGTCATCAGTGCACGGTCGGTAGACCTTACTCTTTCACCTCTTAGTCATCAGTGGCCCGTCCGAAAAAAAAAAATCCCCACGTGTGTTGTCCCATCCAAGGTGCGGAGCATACGCCACAGCCCGCAAAGGTCCAGTGAAAATGGGCGGAGGAGAAGGGGGCGAAGGAGTCACACCTGACGATTTGGTACTTGGAAGTCGCAAGCGACAGCGGACAGCGGTGGGAGTTTTGAAGTCTGGCGGGATGGGTCGATCGTCACAGGATCTCGCAAAAAGCTTTGAGCGTCGCAAAGATGAGAGGTCAAACTTGTAAAGCTCTGTGTGTGATTGTGTGTGTGAGTCTCGAACTCTTCTCAATGGCACGGTGAAGGCAAGCGATCTCTTTAACTCTCGTCCTACTCTCGTTTGAGCTGCGCCTCCTGAGTTATGAGCCACTGCTAGTACCACAGCCACCACAATGGCGACCAGGATGAGGAAAGCGCATATGGGGAGCACCAGCTTCCGCCATGGATCTTGACACCTGGCAGCTGTCGAACATGCCACCAACGGTGCACTCAGATTGCCAAAGGGTTGTCGAACTCCCTGGATTCAACTGGAGCTACAACAATGGGCCGTTGCCCGAGCATCCCATCACATGTTGACGCTTCAGGGGCCACTTCGGATTGCAGCGATCAAGACATTCCTGCTTCAGGAAACCCATTGGCAGACTCTTGGAATTTGCTACTGCACTTCATGCACCGTCTGGCTTCCCACCCCCCAAAAAAGGCATAACTTCTGCTGAGTACTCACAGTCGTCTGTCTTTTCTGACTCGGGTGAGTACCTGCGTTCAGAAAACTCGCCGCATCGCGTCGAGTAGACGAGCCACACGAGCGCGTCGAGTCAAGAGATGCAACAGCATCATGTCCCTCCATTCTTCAAGAAGGAGGACAGCTGTGCGCTGGGCAAGTGAAAATGACAGCTCTACGCTTGCAACGGGCGTCCCATGTCCCAGTTCGCGCCCATGTGCTTGCTTCTGCACAACCAGGCGCAGTTGTTGGTGAGGTGTTACCCTTGGATACCCTTGGGCAGCACCACTAGCTTGTATTTTGCAGGATTGGTGAATGCATTTGGAGTTGCTTGGTGCAAATCCGAGAAGCTGGGTGAGCACTGACATCAAAAAACCTCTAGAAGCTGTTGCAGCTCCAACATGCTCCAAGCCTGCTTCTCCATCACAGCAACCAGTTGTCAAATCAAAACAGTTAGCAAAACAGTATGCATCAGCTCTGCGTCAACAAGTTCTTCGGATCTAATCTGGGTGTCCTGCTCAGTAATTGACTTGAACACCCATCGGGCTGCTGGCTTCCAAAGACATGAAAAGAACAAACAACCACAGGCAACGCACTTGCTTGAGAACTCTCTGGAGGCCAACTCCCAGTTGATGGCTCTCAGCCGAATCATGAGGTCTTCTGCAAAATCTGCCTCAAGTACTTCACCTGAACGAGCTGGAAGCAGGGGTGGAACGTCCGCAGTACAAAGGCACACGGTGATATGTATATCGATATGCAACTATTATAGTTAATACTAATACATTACTAAATGTTATATATATATACAATGTTATATACTGAGTTACTGTATATAGTAATATGTAATTATATATATACATAAAATATGCAATTTAGTGTATAAGTTAAATATAAGGCGCCAATCGCAAGGTACAAGGAAGGGCTGCAAGGACTGAAGTTATGTGAAACTGACATCACACTCAAAGACAGAACCTCGTCTTCATGGGAGACCAGGAGCTGAAAGTTGAGCATCCTTGGAGTGGAGTAATTTGAGCAAGTGACATGAGTGCATTGATTGCTGAAGTGTAGAGTATTGTAGAGTAGCTGTTTGGCGGAGTGTCCAGAGTGCTTCCAGCAAGGGATGGTTGGCATTTTTGCTATTGGACAGCCAACAAGGGAAAAACTAGTAACAAGTGCATCGCTACTAGTAACAAGGTCATTACTACTAGATACTACTAGTAACAAGAAGCTACTAGTAGCAAAGGGCATCGCTACAAACGAAGCGATCGGACGCGACTCGAACGGGGCGCTGGCCTTACTAGTAGCCTTAAAGCTGCACCGCCAAGGTGCGAAAAAACACTGAAGAGTGCTGTGTCCATCTTCTTCGGGGTACAGTACTTCCGGAAAATGTGCCTGTGCCACTCGCCTGTGCTGGACACTTGATTTATCGGACGGCCGACCTGGAACTAGTAACAACAGAAATCCTACCCCATTTGCAGAACCACAGACATAATATGACATAATATTCTGCCTACAAACTCATACAGGATGTTACAGTTACAGGAGTGCTTCCTCAAACTCGACGGTATAGTTGGATTAGTAGGTCTGGGAAGCATGCGGAAGCTTCTCTGCTATTGTCTGCCAAGGTCACGTAGCGGGCAGGTCTCATCGAGAAGGAAGCCTGTGAGCAAGCTTTCACCAAAGATTCTGTGCCTTGCTGGCTATACTGACTATTCTTGTAACATATCTTTCCGCCTTGCCAAACGTGAAGCTTTCGCTTTGGCGGAAAGAGAGCCGTCATGTCAGCCAGTATGCAGTATCAGTCTACGTGAAACTCATCTCTATAGAGATCTAGAGTATTCAATTCCAGAGCAACTATATAAACAAATTCAGAAAAGGAAGGTGCAGTACCTCTTTGGGCCACCAATGATTCGAGTTCCGAAACCGCATATTGGGAGCATTTGCACAGCCGCCAAGCTGGATGGTCCAAGCTGGTTCTCAGGAGCCAGCTTTGCACCAGGAATGCCAGCAGAATGTAAATGTGCACGGCCTCAAGCAGGAGTTTTAACCATGTCATGCCTCAAGCAGGGTCCGGTTACCAAATTTGTTTCAATAACAATACATTTCTTGTTTACGGGGGTCAGGGGTCCAGTAGGAGCAAGGACGCTACTAGGGGCTCCTGGCCGTACTACTAGGAACAAGAAGCTACTGGGGGCTCCTGGAATCGCTACTAGGAGCAAGAAGCTACTAGGAACAAAGGGCATCGCTACTAGGAGCAAGGACGCTATTAGGTTGGAGGCCATTGCTAGTTTAAGGGGGTCCATTCTTGCCACAGGACCCATTTGTGTGTGTGTGTGTCAAAGTTTTCTCAGCCTCAGTATCGCCCAGTAGTCCAGCCATGTGCGGGAAAACTCGTCGGGCATAAGAGCAGGCGTAGCAGAAGCATAGGACCTTAACTCATGATGACTTCTGCATGTTGGGCTCTCCTTTATGATTTTGTGATATTTTGTGTCAGAAAGCTCTAGACACAACAAAGTCGCAACAACTTGATCTGAACATGCACAGGCTAAGAGCAAAACGATATCATTAGAGCAAATATGGCAAGCACGAAGCAAACAAATGGTCTGGTGCACCTGAAGTCAACAAATGGTCGGCACAAGCTGGCACATGGAGTGACTTTTCGTCAAACATGTGACCTGCGATGTTTCAACTCTTAGCAATATATATATATATACATATACACATTTTAAATTCTGCCCTCCAACCTAATAGTGATGGCCTCCAACCTAATAGTGATAGCCTCCAACCTAATAGCGATGGCCTCCAATCCTAGTATGCTTCAGGCACCTGGCTCATTGGGCTTGTTTTCACCTTATTGAAAACCAACACCTCCAAGCCATCTTTAATCGAAAACACATTGACAACAAACAAACCTATCAAAATCCAACAAAACCACAATCCGACGCACATGTCTCAAGTCTGACCATTTCATACCATTTCCGTTCAAGCGCCTTTCTTTGCAGCAGGTGTCGGTTCATGACCATTTCGGTCTTCTGCCCCTGAGCTTGTAAAATGATGCCCTGCACCACCATCCTCAGCTCATCAATTCGGCTTCTGGCATCGGCCATGAGCCTTCAGTTTTGGTTAAGATTGAATTGAAGGAAGGGTCCAAGCCATCCGGATGAAGACTGATTGAAACAGGCTACTGACAGGCTGACCTCAAACAAGACCTCAAAGAATTGCACATCTGGTTTCTCATACAACTGAGCAGCGCAATCTGCCACGACAAAGTCTCATCGTGCTCAATCTTGGGATGCCTTACTTACGTAGCTCACTTCAGTCCATTGCCAATGTGTGAGTGATGCACGACGCCCAGCAGCAATCACAATCACTCAAGCGATTGAATAAGGATGAATAATATATTGACTTTCGGGTAACCGCTCGCCTCTTTGCATCATTTGGCAGAATCAATCCACTGCTGCAGTCCTCTGATAGGTGCAAACGAAGCTCGTTGTTGCATCAAGGACTGACGGCGATTCATGTACTGTACGTTACGAATTGGCGTGCAATCGAATCTATGACATGCGCTCGAACTGTAATTACTCGGTTCTCTGAAACTACCAAGCAGCCACTCAAAAACATCCCTAACCATCTCTTGTGGACTTGACTTCCTTCATCTGAGGCGTCTCAGAGGTTGTAGAAGGACTGGAGTTGATGCCATCAGAGGCTATAGGAGAGTCTCCAGCACAAGGCAACCTCAGCGTCTCGACGCGGTTCTTGGACGGTGCTCTACCATGTCATCAGCGCCGGCGCTCAAACACAGAGTGCTTCTCCCATGCCATGCCCGTTTTCGCAAGGAGCACTTGGAAACTCTTGGGAACCATAAGAACAACATCAATTCAACACAAGAATCTGGTCATCCGTTAAATGTGCACACAAGATAAACACACACGAAAGGCGCAAACTTGTCGCATAGTCATTTAGTAGCCCAGCCACATCTGTGCAGGATAATCTGGCATGGAATATTTTCGCAAACGCCGACAGAAAATCCTAAGTTGTGAGGCCGGACAAGCTGACTAGACCTCCAACGTCTAGTCATGCAGCCAAAGCTCTCTTTTCTTGTGCGCAGGTCGATTCAAGGGAAGTTACATCCAAGATTTGGAGTGCGCGTGGCACTTGAGAGAAACAAAGCGCGCCAAAATGACGGTCAATAGCAAGGCACGTTTCGGCGGCCGAGAAACTAGTCCCAAAGAGTTGAGTTTGGGGTAGCGGTTTTTACCAACAGCCAAACCTACACAGGTTTGAGTGTGCGGCGCGCTGCGTTTTTTTCAGCATTTTTTGGACTCACTTTCGGATGGCATCTCACTTTCGGCTTTTCAGCTCTTGCAACTTCTCGACCATGGATTTCACCTGCAAGGCTGGCCGGTGTGCATATATCATATGAATACACACATACAAAAACATAAGTATTGTACAGATTACAATTACTGTGTATACTTTATACATCTTTATACTGTTATCATGGAAATAACTGCACCATCTATTTCGATTACAAGGACAAGGCATGGGAACACACTAAATCGCCAATACTGAACACATCCAATGTCTGGGAGCCTCCGGGTCCTGGTCACACTTCTTTCCACTGTAGCCTTGAGCCTTGAGCTGCTCCTTCTTCACTCGAATTTTATTGCCTGGGCGAAGCCGTTCAGACGGTCAGCCTGGTTTCGTCACCATAGCTTCTTGCTCCGAATAGCTTCTAGTTCCTAGTACTAAGGCCAGGAGCCCCTAGTAGCGTCCTTGCTCCTAGTAGCGATGCCAGGAGCCCCTGGTAGCTTCTTGTTCCTAGTAGCGATGCCCTTTGTTCCTAGTAGCGTCCACCGATGAACTCCCATCACCAAGTTGCCCCAAGCTGCAATCTCAGCATCCAGGTCTGCGCCATTAGGCACAGCAGCTGGTGCTGCTGGTGCGGCTGGAGCCGCTGGTGCCGGCGCAGCGGGCGCGGCTGCCCCTGTGGCTTTCGCACTCTTCAGCTGCAGTAGCTTCTCAACCAGCTCTTTCACCTAGGGAATTTGCATGAAATTGCTGAGATGGCTTGACTTACAGTCTACGTGCTAGCGCTGAAGGCAACTCCAACAAGTGGTGTCGACTTGTTCGATTGTCTTGCGAGTTTGCCAAGCAAGGATCTTTCAAAATGCTGCTCTTCTAGTCTGATAACTCACTGAGAATGTCGCACTGAATGGTTCCTGCACTGAATGGTTCCTCCAAACCCTAAAGGCCCTAGCCCCAAGCCAAACCCTCGATGAATGGATGATCATGCATGTCTGGGAGCCTCTGGGTCCTGGTCACACTTCTTTCCACTGTAGCCTTGAGCCTTCAGCTGCTCCTTCTTCTGCCGAATTTTATTGCCTGGCACTAGCGCCATGTGCTCAGAATGATAGATTGCCTCCAGTACCACAGCAAAACGCTGAGCTGCTCTTCTTGTGCCCGCTTGCTCGAGCAACACGTCGCGCGGCGATCGAGTCCACGGTGATCCGATGTGCGAGTTTTCAGTTCCATGTCCAATTCCCCAAAGTGCCCTGACCATCCCGAAAAGTGTGTTCACCGAACAGGTATGTACCACTGAACTGTCATGAGTTATGTGGGTCAACTGTCCAAGCGGCTCAACTCAGTGATCTCTGCGTCGATGTCCCCGCTTGCCACGACGGCGGGCGCAGGTGCTGCTTTTGTGGCGGCTGGTTTCGGTTCTTCCTTCTTCTTCTCTTCCTTTGGCTTCTTCTCCTCCTTGGCTTCTGCATGGCTTCCAAGAGCCGCCGACCACAACAACATATAATATCTGCGACACTGCGACCATGTTTCTGCCTTCTTCTCGCCCTTTGGTGCCTGTGAATGGTTGCTACATCTCCAACGTTCCAAGTACATGCCAAGTATGGTCCAGCCCCCCAGTGCTCTTTGCCTCCTTTGTAGCACCTTTGGCCTGAACAAAGGCTGAACATTGAGCAGCGTGAACAGTGACAAAAGGCGATCATTCATGATCGACTGGTTATATAGTTATTTACCTCCATGTCCCTCCACTCAGCGATCGATGTTCGGCCACAAGGGCCTTGTCGCGCGGGTTGGGTGCAAAGGCTGGTAAAATCGCACGCGGCTTCTCAGCAGTGGAACACAGCTTCCTGAGCAGTGCGGTTGTGGAATCACTGACGCGTCCGGTCTTTACAAGAAAACAATTGTTTTTCTTGTGTTCGGGTGTTGCAGCAAGCAGCTTGCTGCTGCATGGTGGGTCTAACGACAGTTGATACCAAGGCCATCCACGGTTTCTTGCCGCTCGCCCGAAATATCGAAATCGGGCGACCTTTTTTTTTGGGAGCTGTTTCCAACGCGTTTCGGTATTTTTTTTCGCACTGTTTGTGGTCAGGGGTTACCACAAAGAGAAACAGAAAGAGAACTAGCGCAGGAGGCAAGGGACAGAAGAGCAGGAGGAGAAGGAGAAAAAGGAAAATGAGAAACAATTTGCATAGGAGGCAAGGAACAGAAGAGTAGAAGGGGAAAAAGGAAAAGGAGGAAATGAGGGAGGAAGAGAAGGAGAAGGAGAAGGAGAAAGAGGCTCTTCGAGCTGCATTCTTGCAGATCACAATACAGTATACGCCAGCCATGTGAGAATGGTAGCGCTTACCGGTAAGTCTGATAGATATATATATAATATATTTATATATGATATATATAAATGTATGTCCATGCGTGCATATGTATATCTATGTACGTGTCTGTCTGTCTGTCTGTTTGTCTGTCTGCCTGTATGTATGTATGTATGTATGTATTTTTTCTTCCTAAAGTGTCTTGTGCTGCTGTTGCACGAGGGCACTTTGGCCGGCCGTGGCCGGTCTTGTCCACCTGAGAAGACTGTTGGCTTGACAGTTCCATTCGGCCAAATAGGTTATGCAGCTCCATGGGTGAGTCTTGTGGGTCAGCTGTTGATGGATCTGTTGCCAAGCCTGCTCCAAGTGGGGAATCTGGTCAGTTGGCCATGCATGGTAGAGATTGTGAAGGGCTCTGATGTGGTGGATGACGATTTGATCTGCCGGGTCGAGGTACTTGTTGCTGTGGATGTCGTAAGTTGCATCCAGTGCGCCGCCAGTGTGGTGCCCCAATTGTGTGGCCAATGCGGTTCGCAGAGCTGTACGATATTGTGGCGCCAGGCCCTGAGCTTCCAAACCCCAGAGGGCAACGGGCTGGATTCCACCCCTGTGTAACCGGAGTCGCGCCTTCAAGGATGGTATCTTCAGAGACCTGAGTGGGTTTTCTCGTGAGGGGGGGGTTCGCAGGAAATAAGGGTGTGGCCTTGACATTAAGGCCCAAGCATTGACAACAGAAGGAAACAGTGATCCAAATGTAACAAGAAACACAAAAAAGGGATCCAAATGTTCCCATCAACGATTACATTCTCACACCTCGCGTGGGACCATGTTGGATGACAAATGGACACTCCAAAAGCTGTGACCATGTTTGAGACAGCGAACTCCGACCGTCCAGAAAGCCACGAAGCTTAAGCATATCTTTTCCTGCGTCATTTGGTTGCGTCAGGCGCTGTCAAGATTTCCCCGGTAACAGGCACTGGCAAAGCGTGTGCAGTGCACTCCCAGCCAACGGAAAGACCTAGATCCATCAAGACCTAGATCCATCCAACTAGAATTTGAGATATGGACCGGATCCATAAAGCAAGCCAAGTGCAGAGTCTTCGCACCTGCAGCGTCCAAGGCTCTAAGATCTATCAGTTTGCACCCTCATCCAAGCGCGGTTTCTTCGCGCATGGGTGAAAAAAATCCGGACACATCAGAGTTTTTGCGCCGCTGCAACTCAAGCCCGGCAACCTTCTGAACCAACTCTGTTGTCTGAGTCTCTTGAGGCTGGCCATCTCTTCCGGGCTCAACGACGAGCCCCCGGCAAGGCCCAGCCTTAACTGAAAAATACGGTTGCTGAATTTCACTACTGGCAGGCGCGCGACCTACCATATATACTGTGAATATATAATATTAGATTTATTGTTCTAATACATTACTACAGAACTATAAGATTCGGATTGCCATGAGATGAAGACCGGGGCCAGGACGAGCAAAGGAACAACCAACCAATACCTCCCCTGCGCATACAAAAACTAATATGAGTGATGAGTGGCAATTGCTTCGTGGTCCAGGAAGACAAGCGCAAGATCTCGGTAGAGAGCGTAATCGGCGGCTTTGCGCTTGAGCTTGAACCGTGCGGTTCCACAGCACTGCGTTCAGCGGTCTTGCCTGGCTCTTCTCGGGCAGGCTGGTCTTCCTCGTTGGGTTCTCTCGTCTTCTGCTCTGGGCTTGGGGTTGCCATCTGATCTTTGCCAACTCCCATCTGGTCTTCTGCCTGGGGTTCTGCCGTCTTCTGCTCTGGGTTTGGGGTTGCCATCTGATCTTTGCCACCTCCCATCTGGTCTTCTGCCTGGGGTTCTGCCGTCTTCTGCTCTGGGGTTGGGATTGCCATCTGGTCTTTGCCAACTCCCATCTGGTCTTCTGCCTGGGGTTCTGCCGTCTTCTGCTCTGGGATTGGGGTTGCCATCTGATCTTTGCCAACTCCTTGCGAGACTCCCATCTGGTCTTCTTCCTGGGGTTCTGCCGTCTTCTGCTCTGGGGTTGGGGTTGCCATCTGATCTTTGCCAACCCCCATCTGGTCTTCTTCCTGGGGTGCCGTCTTCTGCTCTGGGGTTGGGATTGCCATCTGATCTTTCCCATTGCCAACTCCCCCTCAAGCCCTCCCCCTGGAGCAACAACGCAAAGCCATAGTCTACGTAAGTCCTCTAAGTGGGAAGAGTTAACATGATCATGAGCAGGGCAGGGTGATGACCCCTAGACACCGATCAAGGCCAAACAAAAGAACCAAGGCTGACTCTCGAATCACCTACAAAATCTAGAATACACGCCTCCTTTCGCAGCAAAGCTCATATCCCACGACCGACAATCTTTCTCCCAAGCCTAAGTCTGACTAAGCCGGGCCCGGGCCTATGTGTTCTATTTCTGTTTTTGGTTACAACTCAGCTGCAGGGCGCAACCACTGCAAACACAATGACCTAAACATATAGAAGTATCTTGCAAATCTCAAATCGCCAACCACCGGCCCTCGAGTTGACCTAACTCAAAGTGGGCCTTTGTGAAGTTGGTGCTCTCACAAGTGCATAGGATGGGTCATCTGCGAGAAGGTGGTCGCATACGTCGTTGATTGTCATGACAATTTTGGCAAAGCCAATGATCTGGCCGCGGGCATGGTGCAAAAAGTGTTTATGCTTGGATTGTCGGCAACCTATCATCGTGAACGTCGTGAACAAACTAACAACAGAACTATATCGTTTTGTTGACTATGACTATTCCGGCTCTCAAAGAAATCAAAAGTCTTTCAGCAAACACGGAGCTATTCCGAAAGCCAATTGATACGGCCCTTGCGTGAATGCTGTGTTTCCAGCCTGCTCCTGTTCACCGTGCGTGACAACGAGGTTGTAAAGTTTCTCCAACTCTTTCCGGGTATCTTCAAGGCGAGCTGCAACATCTTTCTTGGACCATTCTGCTGTGCCCATGGCTCCATGGGTCACCTGAATGTAACGATTGATATGCCGAACGACTGCCAGGTTGCAGAAGCTGAGAAACCTACTCTTTCCATGTTGAGCAGCATCTGTTCTGAGTCTTTGCAAGCCCTATCCCCTTTGGCACTTCTGTGGCTGAGTTGGCTGGCATACATCGGTTTTTGCCTGCGTGCCCTGTTCTTCCTCGCGTTATTAACTCTCAGTGTTTGTGAAGAAGTTGGCGAGCATGGGTTACAAAGGTCAACTTAAACGATCCACATGTCTTACACAAAGAGCCATGTCTTTGATCCCAACCCCAAACAATAAGGTTATGTGCTTGTGATAACACACTGGCTAGTAATACTCGGAACATGTTGGTTGTGTGCGTGGCCACGGGCTTGTAAAACCAATTTCAACCTTAACATCCCAATCCCAATGCTTAGCGCAAGAACCCCCGACTAGCGCAGGTTTCACGAAACCTGAGTTTGAGTTTCCTCTGATGGGCTCTGGCAAAACGCTGCTTCATGACTGGAATCCGTCTTCTTCTTGCGGCTTGGTGATCGATTCCAAGATCCCTCATCACTGAGGCCACCTGCGGTTCATGGGGTTGAAGCAGGTCTCGTAGGGCTCTGTCCGTTGCCTTGTCTGTTGCTATGAAAGCTGTCTTCTTGGCATTAACCTTGAGCCCAAGCCGGACCAGCCGGTCGTGGAGGTTGCGGTAGGCCTCGATGGCTGTTTGGGCAACCTGTATGGGTGTTCTGCCATGGGTGTCAAAGCCAACATCATCCACCCAGCTCGACAAGTGCACTCTTCATGTTGTTGTTTCCATGGAATGAGAGCTGGTGCTAAAACTGCTTTTGCCAGAAGTGGTGCTTGAGGGCAGCCGGCTGGTATGCTTTGATCTACTCGGAAGAATGGCGTGAACTCTTGTTCTGCTGAGATGGCTTTAGGTCCAGTGTACAGCTGCATTGCCAGCTCTAGCATCAGCGGTGGATAGCCCAGTTTCATTGCTTCTTCCTGGAGGCGGCTGAGGTTGATCGTGTCATAGAAGGTGGACATGTCCATCAAAACCGTGACTCCATGCAGGCCTCGTGCTCGATGGACTTCCTGCCTCAAGAGTCTTTCGAGTGCCACATGTAGGACATTGGCTCCTGGCCGTGCACGATCATGGGCCATTGTTGCTGGCAGGTTTTTTTGCGATTGGTCCAACAGCGGCTTGCGAAGTCTACACCAGGTCCTCCATAGGGTGGATGTAAGTGTGATTGGTCTCTCAATAGTCTGGTTCTTGGGCAACATCACCACCATATGCATTTGGAGTTGAGTTGGCAATCCGGCTTGGGCTTCCATGGTATGGTACAGCTGGAGCAATGGTGCCAGGGAGAGTGGTGGTGCCGCTTTGAGGAGTTGTGTTGATACCGCGTCTGGATGTATGTATGTATGTATGTGTGTATGTATGTATGTATGTGTGTATGTATGTATGAATGAGTGTATGAATGTATGTATGTATGTATGTATGTATGTATGTATGCGCTTGGTTGTTTTCTTGGCTACCGTGATGCGCTGTAGCATGCTGTAGCAATACCATCAAAAAAGGGGCGGGAGGGGGTGCGGGAGAGGGCACAGCGCCTCCCCCGCAAGGAAAACAGCGTATATTGAGCACCCACGCGCTGAAAAAGCAATCACCAAGAGTTCTTTGTGTCCAGGTCCTTTTTTCTGTAAAGTGTTTGAGGGTCAAATGCTGTGCAGGCCAGTCGCTTGCAAACTGGTTTGCTGGTTTTGTTTTGAGTGACTGAGTGACCTGCTTGAATATAAAAAAGCGGGAGGGGTTGCGGGGGAGGGCGCAGCGCCCCCCCCGCAAAAAACAAAGTATAGTGAGCATCCCGGCACTGACACACTGCTCCTTCCTCCCTTCCTCGCTTGCTTGCTTGCTCGCTTGCTTGCTTGCTTGTTTCCTTCCTCCCTCCCTTCCTCTTTCCTGCTTCCTTCCTTCCTTCCTTCCTCCCTCCCTTCCTTCCTTCCTTCCTTCCTTCCTCGGCAACAGAACCTGGAAAAATTCCCAAAACCCGTTGAAAAAAAAGCCACACCAAAAAGGGGTTCCCCCGAAATCTCCCGATGATAAAGACACGCAAACAAATGAGGCATTATGGGTCCTAATGTGCCACTGGGCCATGTGATTCACTTCCGAGACGCACTTCGCCAAGAACAGACTTGAACTGCGGCATTTTACAGCACTTCTCGAACCTGGGAGCTCAACATGCGCACACTGACTGGCAGGCTTGCATGGGTGGTTCAGCAGCATCCATTGGACTCTCATCTGTTTTGCTGTCTGAACGTAGAACCCTAGCACGACACTGACAGGCTAAGGCTGAGGCCTTCCCAGACTTCACTTTGCAATTTTGAGATTCCGGTTTCGATTGAACTCAGCCACCATTGCAGCTGAGATGCCACGCAGATGTCTTTGGAAACGGCTTCCGGAAGCTTGCATCGAAGACCCTCTTGAAGCCCTCTTTGAGTGAGCACACCTCACTCGAAGGACGACACAAAAACATGAAGAACCCATGTTGCGCAAAGTCTCGCAAGATTTGATTTGACGAATGGCTACGGCTACTATATAGGTCCGTACAAGCACTTGCGCTCTCACACAACTTCAACCTCTGATTTGCAAGTGAAGTGCCAGGGTGATGTCCGCCAGGCTCACGGAACTTCCCACTAAGAAGTCCGTTGTTTTCAGCTGATCTTCCAAAACCTGCAGTTCATGAACATGCATACCATCTTAGGTTCTCATGGTGGGGACACTTATGGGCCATCAGCCCTTCGCTGGTGGCTGCCTGTTCTCCTGTAATGTGCCAAAACAGCAATCAACCAAACAATACAATTGGTCGCTTCAGAAGAAAGGAAGCTGTCGGCAGTCGATGTAGCTGCGCCAAGAAGCTTTCAGCGCCTTCTTGACATCTTCCTCTGCAGGATGTGGGCTCTCTGTGCATTTCACTGGCACACCGTACTCTTTCTCAAAACAATTTGAACTCGGCTGTGCTTAGTCTTAGAGACCAGTTCAGTGTCCATCTCGTGTGAATAATATTCACCCTAGAATGCACAAATGATGTTGCCACAAGTGGCAAAACTGTTCGACTGCAGTGTACATGGAGCAAGGCAGTGGAGCTTCGGGGCCTGCGCATCTTTGGTCGCTTTTGGCACGTCCTCCATCATACCCAACACAGGGTAGACCCAGGTCATCAAGGGAACCTCCACCTGGGCAAAACGATTCTGGAGCACGGCCTAACATGGGTTGGGTACATCCCTGATCTGATCACAAAACCACAAACTTATTCTCTGTACAAGTCTGGGCTGGGAATAAGTAGGAGTGCTTGCGGTGCTTTATACACCAACACATTTACACCAACAATCACCAACATAGACCAGTATCTTTGCACCGAAATGCCCCGAAGCGCGGTTTCGTGGTTTAGTCCTGTTTCGTGCGGCCTCATGCAACGCAAAGTCCAACCAACTGTCAATGTCACATTCCTCATCGAAGCTAGACCCATAGAGCGCCAAGTCAGGGCGGCTGCGTGCCGCATATCTGCAAGCGACACGTTGGTCGAAATCGTCGAGACTTTTAGTCTTTCCTTCTTCGTTTGTCAATCTTTTCCATCTTTTTTCACAGCTCTTTCGGTGCCTTGATCTCAACCCTTTTTTTGAGCTCCATTTTCATATTTGTCATCTTTGGTCTTGATCTTCTTCGCTCTCACTCTCCCTCTCTCTCTGTGAAACACTGATAGTGCTCACAATGTCTCCCGTTCAAGAAATATGGACTTTGGGAGAAACTTGCTTTGTCTGCAAACAATCCATAGCTGGCCAGCAACCTTGCAATAGCATTGGAGGTAAATATGCAGCCTCTCTCCGTCTCAAGGTAAGGAACCTGCGTCAAGTCCCATGTCTGATCATTCAAGTGCCGGACTTATCCGGCTCACAAAAGCAGAAACCTGATGAAATCTGTAAGCGAACTTGCAGCCAGGAGATTAGACGTCTTGGAATCCCTTGGAGAGAAATCCCGTCCTCTCAGTTAGAGTGAGACGATAGACCATCATGACAATCTCCCCATTGGGCCATTGAATCGGTACAAGTATAAGTACATATAAGTACATAAGACAAAAACTCCAAGACTCATAATCACCTCCTGGGTGCCTTCTTCGTACTGCATGAATAAACTTTGAGACTCTTTGAGTGTGGCTAACCATCTGCCACCTGCCTTGCCAGTCGGGTTGTATGCCAAAAAGTCTGGTTTCTTCGAGTCCTGCAGCGCTTTTTGCTGGGAGCACCGTTTCTGGCGCCAAACAACGTCTGTGACACATTCAGTGCAACAACGATCAGTGGGCCTGTTCTTGCCCGATTGTATCTTTGGTGGCCACAACACAACTGCCCTTTTGGGGTTGCAATGCAAATGATGCCCGAAAAAAGGGAGGGGTACTTTGGAGGCAAGCAAACTAGAACCATTTTGCCGTATCTTGCGGCAACACAGTGGTGCAGCTATACACACTAGTCCTCTTAAGTCAGAGTGTCAAAGGTACAAGTAATGCACTGGAAAACCATGCGCAACATAGTCAGAACAAAAACACACATTGAAACCCTGCAATTGCATGAGTCATGCTGCACTGCCCCTAAGTGCACTTGACCTCAAACCCTCCAAGGGCCTTCACAGGGTCGAACTTTTTGGTCAGCATTGAAAGGCCAGCAAACTTGGCTGTGACTAAGGCCTCTGCCAAGTTCGACGGCAGCGAAGGAAGCACAATGGCTGGGGCGACATACAAGCACACAAAGAAACCCAACATACATACTCACTCACACTCCAAACTTTCAGCTTTGCAACAGGCTGAAGCTTGCAGGGTTTTGCCCTGGAGGCCTTTGATGAAACTGCTAGAAGCGGCAGGAATAGCAGCGCCTTTTCAGCCTTGTAAATCGCTTCCTCAACATAGTAAAGTGTCCCAATCTCTATTGGTGCCATTGATCCTGGCAAGAGAGTGGCGATCTCAGGAGGGATGCAAGAAACTATACGACGAAGTGAAGGGCACAAAGCACACGGAAATCTAACAACCGTAACCGATCTTGTACTTGGACAATGAAGCACAGGGGTCCTCCAGTCTACAACAATGCAAAACAACAAAGCAGCTACTGTATATTTTATGCAGCACTCATTTATTTAGCAGGTTTGTTATGCAGCACCCATACAACTTTACTTTGCTCATTCCACTATGATGCGTAAGGGAATTACCACCAATATATAAATAATGTACCCTCTGATGCTTCAGCGCTAGCAGCGGCTAGTGCCATCAATAAGACTTTTATTACTGCTCGAACACTAATCTGGAACAACCTTTGCTTCTTGATGCTGGTTCCAATCACTCCAATTATACTTATGTGCTTGTCCTTCGGGGGATGGCCCTTAAATCAATACCAAGTCAATTCGTTACGGGTGGGGTACCAATTGATTCTATCAGGCAAAGTGTGGTGGGGATGCTTTCTGTGGTGATAGATCTGATATATAGATAAATCCAATTATATTCGATGGTTTGCAACTGTCAGTTCAAAAATAGCAAACAAACCTGACCCTCCGACTAAGGATAACTTCAGCAAATTAACCTCCTTCAAAGCTCACTTCCTATACACATTAGCTTTCCATTTCCATTGATTTCAATTTTCAATATATATATATATATTATATACATTTATGTATAGAGAGATGTACAAAGAGACTCTAGACCATTGTATGCCCAATTGTACCCCCTAAGCCCCCTCTTGGCTCAAATCACTGAAGACAGTCTTGAAAGTAAGACATGTTTTCGAGCACCGGTCCTGGGCAAGCCAAACCAGCAAGCCTCTTACGGTCCACGCGGCGCACCAATTCGCTTGAGCCAAGCGAGTGCTGCGATGGGTCAAAAAGTTGACCGAACCAAGATGAAACAAGCTCTTCCTGTTCGAACCCATCGAAGTTGTGGCGCAGCTCAAATAACACTCCTGGGTTTCAACATGGGCAGTTCCGAAGCATCACGTTGCGGCCCTTCCGTTGGCTTGCCCCTTGGGCCGCACCTTGGCCAGTGAAACGGCGGAGTCGGCCCCACCTTCGTTTGCAGCAGTTGGAGGGCTGCTCCGTCGTCTCACAGGTATTCATCGAGAAATCAGCGATTGCAAGCGAAACTACTCTCGGAAGCTGTGAGCAGCTGGTGGCTGCGGATATCAAAGGTCCAGTTCATGAACTCACCGGTCACATCTAGTGATACCAATTTCTCCACATCTGCAGAATCGGTAAGCGCATGTAAGTGCTTGGCTGATGTTGCTTGCTTGAACCTGTTTACAAGTCTTCAGTCTTTTCTTGTTGGGTCGGTCAATGGGCTGATGCCTTCTTTTTGAGGGGGTCCGTGAAAAGGAAGAGAAGGAAACCTCAAACACCATATTGGGAACAATATGGCCCGGGTGATCTTGTACACATAGCAGTCCTCAACGCGACTGAGTCATGTCATGCCAAGGACTGGGTTTTCAGGTTGTTCTTAGATTCCTGTTGTGGATTGTTGTGGGCACAATGCAAACTACTCTTTGCGCCAATGCCACAAACTCATGAGAATATGCCCGGGGTGTTCAATGACTTCAGCTTGTTGTCCATCTCGATCTTTCCGTTCCCACACCCCAATCACATCTCCTTTGCTCGTAGTTCCTCTTTTGCTCTTTTCGCCTGCAGGGCCAATCAATTCTTCGCACTGGTGCAGGCATGTTGAAGTTCGGCAACCTACCAACATGTTTGTACATATGAGATGACGTGAGTCGATCACAGAAGTGTCAACGCACACGCACCGTGTACAAGCAAGACCGCTGTGTTCGAGACATTTCTCCAAATGGCGCTCAGTCTGAAGCTGGCGTCTGGCGATATCATTCCAACCAATCTCCAACCACGGTATTGCATGACATCTTCCAACAACTTAATACTCTCGGAAACACGCCTTCTGACACGTATAACCAGACCGGCACACATCAATCAGTACCCTGTACGGCCTATTGCTTTCTTGGAGTTCTGAAGATAAACAAACCAAGGCGCTGGGGTCGCGCACGTGACCTCGCCAGTCAAACCGGCCGCGGGCCCCAAAGCGAGGTCAAGCCGTTGAGACTTGTGCACACAGGCAGGACCAAGGTCCAGTTTTTGACCATTAGCAACTGCACGCCATATGTGTGAGCAAAGGCCGAAGCCTTGATATGAATTAATTAAGTCAATATATATATATATCAATATGTATTTTATTAAATGTATATTAACAATATACTTATTATACAAATCAAGAAACACCCGGATCTTCGAAGAGGCACAAAATGGCACAAATATTCACCTATTCAGGAAAACTATCGTTACGACAATGTTGTTTTAGCGAAGTGAGAAACCAAAAAGAAACGGCGTTTTTAGGCATCCAAATTGCATCTTTTCCCCGTCCATGGATGAGCACATATTGGCAACCCCTGAAACGTCATTTTTTAAATACAGCGCCTTTTCACTGAAAAATATGGCAAAAACTTGTGCAATTTGAAGACCCAGGTATATGTATAGCCTGACCGAAGAAAGTTAAGTGCCAATTTTGGCTAGTATTTTTGGCGTTGGCTGTGTTTCTTGGATCTTCTTTATCTTCTTTGTTGCAGGAATCATTGTCCTTGCGATTAAGCCGGTCTCACTGGCACTGCTTGCAAGACCTGCGCACGGCATGAGGTTTAGAATTTTACGGCAAACAAACAAAACCACTGGAAAAGTACGGGCTGCATGCCAAGTTCTCTGAACAGCAATTAGCGTTTGCCGGCAAACAATGATGAGGGTTGCCATCTTTCTCCGAGGGCACGCAGCTTCCCCACCTCAACTTCGGCTCCTCTTTCTTCTTCTGGAGTTGCTGCGGTCTTGGTTTCAAACAAGGGCAGCGAAGCAGCTCGAGGGCTGACAACATGTGGAGATAAAATGACCTACAGAAAGCGCTTGTCCGGCAGCTTCAATCTACGTCCGGCTGCTCTTACATGCTAGAAACCAGAATCGACGCTAAGCTCCCAGACGTCTGTTGGAGTGCCTTCCACGTGACCGACGCTCTTGCCTGCGACCATTTGAAGGCCATTCCTACTTGTTAAGTTTAAAGAAAATAGGAGCAAGGAGCTACTAGGGGCTCCTGGCATCGCTACTAGTTTTAGTTTACAGATTTTTTGGAGTGAGTAATATTATCCCAAAAATCAATTTTCAAATCGTGTGCCCGTCCTGCTGCGGCTTCTTCGGCCACCGCCGGACTGGCCTCGTGTTCACGCAACCGTCCAGTAAAAATGGGCACGGCGAACTGATGAAATGGTCATGAAACGGATCAAATGGAACAACTGCAGTCGCAGTAAAAAACAATTGTGCTTGAACAAAAAAGGCCTAAAGGAGTTAGGGACTATAGTCGCTCAATTTTACAGTCGTCCCCAAAAATGATCCTTGTGCACCGATAACACCGAATATGAATAAGGTTTCATGTGTATATATTATATATAAATGCATGTGAGATGTGAGATACATCATATATGATAAGATTCATAGTGTTGCATGCAGCATGTTGTTCACCGCTTGCCCGACCATGCCCGACCCAGATCTTGCCTTCCACTTTAAGCCAAGGTGCGCTGCAAGAAAAGGTCACGGCTACCCATTTCCATGTCTCTGGGCTCCCGAGACACCAATGGAGGACCTGCGACTGAGTAGAGGCAGTTCCACTGCACCATGTGATAAGGGATAAGAAGAGTACTTCTTTCGTCGCCCTACAGTGAAGTTCGAAGCGAGCTTCAGGTGCTGCAATTCCTATGGTACCTTTTAAACGATCTCTTGGGAAAGCCCAGCTCGCCAGGCTGGGGAGTGAAGCGAGGCGAATTAGCATAGCCACGAGCCGCTTGCAAAGGCCTCTGCGAGCACTTTTGGAGGCCTTGATAGCCACGCCATCAATAATGACCTGTCAATTTCCATATTTCTCTAACCCCAAGTCGGCATGAATGACAGCAAAATGAACCAACACTCCGAAACTGAAACCTGTAGTTCTCTAGATTCGCAGTGAAGCTGAAGACTTCCCGCTGGCCCTTTGGACACGTGTCCACCATGCCGACATGTCTGGATCCGCCTGTCCGGTCTTAATGGCTTCCAATGCCTCATGCGACACCAATCGTTCGGTCCACATGTATATGATATGTATATCGTATACGGTATACGTACATACAGTATAGACCTATAATATGTGAATACATGCATTCCAACCAGCAAGGACTGTAAGACAAAGACTTGGATTTACAGCAATAAAGCAAAACTTTTTTGACAAAAACACCGGAATTCACAGCTCAGGATGTCCTAAGCACAGGTGTGAGAACAAAACCGATCTTCTAAGTGCGTGGGGTTTAGAATTGAATGTGTGACACCGTGACACCCACACATAGAACATCACACCAAACACACGTAGAACAAAGCCCACAACTGCACATAGAACCTTTGGAAGGAGCAAACATGAGAACTCATCAAAGTCACCAACACCTCCTGTGTGTCCATAAATGTACATACAGCTCCTAGGGTCCTAGGGAGTGAGATTTAACAGGCAAAAAATAAAGCCGTCACTTCTTTCTCTTGGAATGTCTTGTTTTCAGAGTTTTGTTGGTTTGAAGTGGAGTGTGCCTGGCATTCGTGAGCTTTGCAGCGTTGATGTTGTGTAAATCTAATTCAGTCTCGCTCCATTTGGCTGCAGCGTTGATGTTGTGTAAATCTAATTCAGTCTCGCTCCATTTGGCTGCCTTCAAAAAACATTGAGGCGTGCACCTTCATTGGAAGAAAGGAGACCTCATCAACAAGGTTGTGACCATGTGAGGTTCGTGTTGGTCGTCACAAGTATACTATTGATAAGGAGACTTGGATGATCTTAGATGCTGTTTTGTGCGTGAAAAGGGTGCAGCGGCTCTCAATGGTTATCCATCTGGTTCTAAGTGTGCTGGCGCCTCATGTTCTCAAGAGTGCATGCCGTCGTTGCTCTGCGATTGCATGCCCTGGATGTTCTAAACGCGATGCTCTTAGTAAAGGGCTTTGGTTTTTGGAAACATTGATGTTCTATATGTGCAATTATGTATATATGTGGGTGTCTGCAAGTATACAACTCTGATCATATGTCCACATATGTCCTCAGGGTCCTTTGGCGAAAAGTTGGAAAAACATCAACACCAAGGGGTGTAGCCAGTTGACCAAGTTTATGCCTTGCTAGCACCACACTGAATAGGCCAAACATATGACTGAATTGACAAGTAAGACATGCGCAGCATCTGCTGCTCGAGGATCAGTAAAGCCTGAGAAGCACCAAGTGGGCACAGCACACGCTAAGACTCAGACTATGACTTTGTTGAGCACTTGCTTCAAGAAGGACAAATTAAGCTGGATGTGGTTATCGGATGCAGCATGACATAACAATGATTATATATTATATATATAGTGCGGTTGCATTGATCCTCTGGGCGAGCTGGCGAACCCAAGGAGGCTCTTTCTCGATGTTGTCTCCTGAAAGGCTCTGGATATCATGGCCACTTTGCTTACATCAAGGCACACACACACACACGTACCCACATGTAAGCAGCTTTCCGTTGAGTTGGGGCACTCTGACAGCTATGTTACCTGCACATACGGTGAGGATACTTGCCAAGGTTGGACAGCAATAGCATTTAATTTTCCGCTGAGCCATGTGCAAAGACAAAGTTGCCGCCCCATTTGGGCGCAACGCATCAAGAACAACATGCACTGCCTGCACAGCAAAGGGCACAAATGCCTGCACAGCAAAGGGCACAAATGCCATTTACTCTGCGGGCAGCTCGCATGTCAAACAATGAGCACCTGAGTACGTCATTGACATTGAAAATGAAAAAGCAGCAGCTAGTAATGCCAAACTGGACTGCAAAATCATTCCGTTGCCATCAATTGGGGCTTGCCCTTGCAACATCGCAAAAGAACACACAGGCTCTCGCACAGCATGGCAGAAGAAATGGCCCGCAGCCTGTTGCCCCATCTTGTCTCCCATGTCACGATTGACTTCAGGCAGTAGTGCAAAGCCACAAATGCCAGCAACGACAGCACATTGACCCCAAGTACAAGGAAAAAAACTGCTGTCTCCCACGGCATTGACTTCCCACACATTGTGTTTGCAAACATCGCAAGGATAAAGCCAAAGCAAAGGTATTCCAAAATCCTGGCAGATGCAAATGCCGCCTTTGGCTTGGGGTCAATGCCAAATGTCAATGCAATTGGCACTGATGTCATGGCAATGGCAAAGCTTCCAACGACCAAAGTTGCGAGAGCCAAACACACTACCAGGAAAGGTGAGATCGCAATGAAGAAAAGTGCAAAGAAAAAGTGCCCAATGCTATGACAACTGTGATGCCAATGGGCCCGGCAATGAAGAAGTAAGCGCAAAGCGCAAGCTTCGTCAAGCATGGGAGGCAAGGCAAGCACAATTCCGCACACGCCACATCCCAGTCTTGTGGGCTTTCAGATCCTTGCACTGCGAAATCAGCACCACCCACTTCTGCACAACTTTCGAGACAAAAAGAGAAAAGGCCTGACGCCAGCTCCTTGATTTTATCGGGGATTGACCTGACAAAGCCAGGGATTTTCTTCATGATCCACCAAACGCCCTCCATAAACATCACAAAGAAGTCCCAAAAGCTCAGTGCAAGCTGGCATAAGGCAAAGCTGATGATGGCTAGGGGAACTCCAACGTGTCGCAAGGCGGCGGAGAAGACCACTGCGTAGCCTCCGGCTCGTACAAAGGTGTCGGATGCCAAGTAGACCCAAAAAATGAACTTACCAATCATCGACTCATGAAGTGGAGAGCCAACCAGCTCCGGGTTTGGCTGGGCATCCTTGCCACCATGTTTGCTTTGCCTTTGGTAGCTCCTTCGCTCTGAAAGCCGCTCCTTGGCTTTGGCAGCTACCAAGCCGACCACTGTCCCCAGTCTCGATTTCCTGGGCTGAGAATCGCTCAATGCGCTTTCTAGCTCAGAGGCTTGCTCCTCATCCCCAAACATCTCCTTTGCATGTTCAGGATCTGTATCACTGGAAGATGCTAAACGCCCCAGCATTTCCTCCGCAGTAACGAGCTCTGGAAAAGTCATTGCTAAGGACAGAGAGACGCTGATAATGGAGACAGAAAGTGAAAACACTCGCAGCGGTTGGCCGTGGGCCTCGATTGCGAAAAGCACATATGCCTGGAAAAAGGCTTGTGGAGCTGACTCAACCAATTTGATGATCAGGTCCCTCCTCAATATGGTTTGCTTCTTGTTGTCATCAATGAACCGGTTTCCATGGCGGAGCATATGAATCAAGTCCATGAAGGGGGCCAGCTGGAAGAACGCCACAAGGAAGCTTATTCCAAAAGCAATTGTTTTCACCTCGGGTCCCGAATCACGCTTCTTCAAGCTGTACATCGCTGCCGAACCCACAGATGAGCAAAGAAGGATGGTCACGCTGATGGCAAGCCACCACGCATGAACCTGACAGGTGTTGTCCTCTGAGCTCACAGCGGTGGAATTCAGAAGGGTGGCATCATGGGCCCCACAGTTCAAATTGAGCGGCTCACCAACGTCACGAAGTCCACCAAATTCAAGCAAGCAAAGAAGCTTGTCTTACCAAAGAAGAGCCAGTCAAATACCATGGTGCTTTCGTGGTCATACAACACCTCTACACTGCTGCCAAAACTGAAGCCAACGGGCGGCAAGCAAGCGATTTGGAATCATACTCGCTACTAAGTATGCCAACGGTAGATTCTTAGATCACCCATGGTCTTTGCCAGGACCAAAGCGTCGGAGGGATTTCTGGGTACAGGACTGTTGCCCATGTGGCAAACATCCACATTGCCTTGGGCGAAGCATTGGTTTGGCTGGGTGGTCAGCTTCAGTTTTACTTGAGAGCCCGGCCGAATCTTTCCATCTCCCTTTTCAGGATCATTCGTGTGGTGGTGGCCTGGAGGAAGTTAAAGCATCCTAAAACATTCCACATATATATATATATATGTACTTATAAATATATAAAGAGATCTATATGGAAGACAGGTTGCACAAAATGAGCATGTGTAAGAAGACCTGCCTATGTATATATATATACATATATTAAGTGTAAAACATACACGATAGTATACGCATAAGGACAAGTGCCCGCTTCTGAGAATGACTTTCTGGGAAACAAGCGCTGCAGCCACCAATGATCTCCTCAGCTAGCTGAGATTGCCAGATTGCTCTCACACTACTCAAAGGCTCCGGTGATTCAAACAAGGAAACAAAACTACTAAACTTGACAAGGGATAGCATTTTCATGATTGACGATTGGAAACGGACAGCCGCAGGCGCATGCCAAGTCACCAGGGTATTGGCCATGCCGCCGGTTCTGTGCAAGCTGTGGAGCCGAAACACCCAATGAACACGCGCTCACTATGCTAACAGTGAACATCTCCAAATGTAAAGTTACATGTTACATGCTACACCTCCCCAGGCATGCTGCATTCCAGATTGTTTTGTCTTCTCTCGCCACATGGCAGCGCGAGCGTTTGGCTTCCTCTCTATGATGAATCTACCGCTTGCTTGGGCTGGGCTTCCTGAGATCGCAACCCAAGGTGTCAAGGAGTGGTCGGAGTGCGATCCAGCTGTGCAAGAATTGCATTATATAGGTAACAATAGTCTTGTTGATGTCTAGCTCTTTGAGAGATTTTTTCTCCAACTTGCTCCTTTTTGCATGTTCCAATTCTCCAAATGCCCAGTTGCGACTCTTTCTCTTCACGGATCATAGTGATAAGCAGCCTGAGCAAAGCAGCGCACCATGAATGGAAACACCACGCTCAAGGCGCCGTGCTCTTCACCTACAAAACAGAAATATGGATGTAGGAGGCGCAAGCAGCTGCTAGGAGGTGCTGAGGATTCAGCATGTTCAGCATTCTTGTTCTTAAAGTCTTGGAGTTCTAAAAAAAAACACACACCATGTCTTAAGTGGTTGACCAACTGATGCTGAAGTCCAGCCGGGTCTCGTCAGCATCTCCACCCAAATGTCCCGGGAACGATCAATCCGCGAGAAGGTGAGCCGTTGCTTCACCTTGCCACGACAACCGTTGACACACGAGACCTGCACAACACGACCACTGATATTGTGAGACGACCGATGTTGAAAAACCTGCTCCACTCTTCGCATCTGGATTTGACGGGAAAGAATGGTGTTGGGACGTTGGGACATCCTTGATTTTTTTCTTTCAATTTGCGGCCCTTCTTTCATGGGATTTGTGAGGGATCACCATGAATGACTGATCAATTGCAAGTGATTTGTGGCCTTGTTCTTCTCCAAATAGTTGATGATGAAGACCTCCTTCCGCGCCGGGTCTGGCTGCACGCTCAACACCTGCTGCACAAGGGGGATTGATCCCCAAAACTATGGAAGTGTATGGCGCCTTGACCTCTAAAATCCTACGTATACAACTGGTGGAAACGGATGAAAACAACACAGCTAAAACTAGAACGCATTTAAACAGCAATAATACATAATAATACCATAATACCACCCGCTTAGTTTGACATTTCAGCGCTGGCACCTTCAAGAGTTCGACTTCCACCTCTGGATTGTCCCCTTTTCTGCATTGCGACTCATCCTTGTAAATGCAGAGTGTGTGGCGTTTTTGATCCGGAGGTCCTGGCTTTGATGGCACATCAAAGATCCAGTCCATCAGCTCATTCGTCATTAGTCAGTGGCAGCAGCCATACAGAATCACGGCAACTCATCCCCAAAAAAAACAGAAAGCTCCTCTCACACAAATCCATTTTGGGTCACGGCGGCCCCAGCTTCCAAACTGATCCAAGGGTCCTGGGCGGAAGTTGCACCAAAGATCTGCACGCTGGCTTACATACCAGGGCCTTTCTCAAGAGGACAGTGTTGTTCTGTACTTGGCAACTGGGTAAGATTTGGGATATTCACCAGCAGTCAACTATCACACTGGTACTTTTCCATCTCAAGAATTGGCAGTTCAGAATTTGAGGCACCTAATGGCAGGCTTCAAACCAATCTTTGTTGAACATGGTGAACATCTGGTGCACTCTAAACACGAGAACTTACCCATGCTATTCTGCAATCAGGAAATGGATGGAAATGGTCGTCCACGCCTTTTGCGACGTGGGCGGTCCGACTCGGAGTCTCAAGGTTTGGACGGTCATTCCAAGCAGACTTAACAAAGTTGACAAGAATGTCAAATTTGATTTCGATTACTTGAATAGCGACATGAAGTTAACAATCATGTCACTCCACAAACTCACCAGTTGCCACGGAATATGTGCTCCCATTATGTGCGCCCCATAGCAGTCCAGCGCATCCCTTCGCGAAAAGTTCCACCTGGAGCTTTTGGAAGGCTGCTTGAACATCAGTGACTCATCCACAAATGAATGGAACGTATTTGTCGAACATATGTCTATAGATGCTATAGACACTACAGATTTTCTTGTAAAACTTCGAAACTTCCAGTCGCCTCGTCCAAACTTAAAAAACACTCCAGTAGCTTCAAACATCGCATGCCAAAGCTTTACATATTTTGGGCAGGCCCAGCCTTGGACAGCTCCTTTGCAGGTGCATCCTGCACAGTCGTCTTAATCACAAAAACGCTCGAAAACATGTGGGGGAACCAAAAAACAAACGTAAGGCAACGGGCATTCAACTGGCCTTCAGTTGTTCGACTATCCTGTCCTATCTCCAAAAAAAGCTTCCATTGATTCATGGAAAGGGGTTAGGGGCTTCTGCCAAAGTGCTGACTGCACACTTGATCATTGATGCTTGTGTCCCTTGTGTCCTCGGAATCTGAGCCACCGCGTGCACGCTCACTTGCCTGGGCCTGGGGAGAACGTTTGGAAGTGGAGCGGAAGCAAAGTTTACTGGCTCAAAGCAACGATACTATCCTCCTTGTCTATCTATATGAAACCATGCAATTGCTGCTTGGCTTTGTCGCTTCCACACAAGCACCTTCTGCAGCTGCGTGCGCAGCATCATGTCGGTCTCTCTGCCTGAGTGCTGACGTAACAATCTACAGCAAGCTACATTTGCAACACAATTTCAAGATCAAATCTAAGACAAGCCCAGCAGCTCATATCCACATCTTGCAAAAGCCCCTTCTCCATACCCTCATCGGTGTCTAAGTGCAAGCTAAGCCTGTGGAGCATGCGGAAAACAAAAATGCTTCACGATGCATCAAGTTTTGCTGACTGTGCCTGACGCGCGGGTTCAGCAATCCTTTGGTTTTCTGCTTCATGGGATAGACCTTCTCCCTGCCCAGGTCCTCGCTGTGAAGGAGGTCCTCAAGGCCGAGTTCGTATCACCTGATCAGTTGACCCTATCCCACCGCCACTTTCAACTCCGCAAAGGGATAGTCGACGGCCTTTCGCTGTTTCGCTCCTTCATGGGATCAAACTTCAAGCTCGCCATTGCTCGGCGCTCTCGCACATCCCAAAGCCTGGAACAAACAAATCCTTTCAATTCTGTTGACTAGTCGATGAATAAAACGCCCCGCAATGGACATGTAGGTCCAGGGTTAATCATCAACAGTCAGCATTCTGATATACAATGATGTGTATGACTTTGACTGACTGCGTTCCAGGGAGCTCAACGAGCACAACATCGGTGCCCTGCTCCACCAGGATACTCAAGGACTCATGGAAAACGGCCTTGGGATTCTCACTGGTGGCTGCGGACCTGAAGACGAGACCGACGCGGGCCGGAGACGCTGCCGCCGAAAACACGACTCTTGTGCCGTGCATCCAAGCGACTGCATTCCAGCAGTGACTCGCACACAAACATTACTCTTCGACTTCCCGCCAGTATACCTGAAGCCAAAGTTTCTCAGTCCCTTCTGCTTCTCAGAGCATCCTAGACCCCCGAGCGGTTTGCGGCCTGTCCACCTGCCCAATCCTCGGGGGGGGAAAGGCCTTCGAGTGAGTGGAGGACTCCAAACAGCCGGCACAGTAAGGTAGCACACAAAGAGGATGTAACTGATGTAACACACAAAAGGCGCAGGATGTGAGTGATTGTCATTGATGATCTCTCATGCTCATGGTCACACTCGTGTACTGTAAGGTAACGAACATCAATGAAAAGGATGTCTTTGAGCGACACACAGCTTGGCGCCAAACATCTGGCTGCCATGAATAATTTTGCCATGGGGCAAGGCTTCATGCACAACAACAAGCAGCTCGAAGTCATCAAAAGCGTCGATACCTACAAGTTATCCAAAAACCAAGGTGCCAGTACCATGGACGTTCTCACATGACCAATGTACATGAAGGCTATGATCAAAGGCATGTTTCAAGTTTCTGTACCTGCCACCCAAACGATACTATAAACTGGACACTCCCAGACAGTTTGGATAATTTCATGCATGTTAAAAACATCTCAATGCATTCGACTTGACATAAGTCATCATAAGAAAACACGATTGATAATCTATCCATCCATAAATCAACAAATAAATCGTAGGACTCTCCACTGCTGAACCCAATGCCCGCCAACCAATCACATCATACAGCCTGTGCTGCGCAAGCACCGCTTGCAGCATCCGCAGTCTCTCATCCGGCAGTTGCGGCTGCACCTCCATTGAGGCAATGTTGGATTTGTATTTCGCAATGATTCTCAAAGTTTTCTGCAAACACGGGAGGCCGAACCAAAATACATATTACAAATATACTTATATATATATATATAACACACTGATGTATACATATAAGATCATAAGTATCAACGAGACCAGCAAAAAAACAAGTAGTCTAGACTGCATTCAACCACTGTTGTATCGTTAGCCAATTTAGCATCCGTCACACATTTATCACTTGGTGTCTTGGTGTTCTGAAGGCCTGCTTCAAGAATCCCAATCAATCAAACCCATCGTGCCTATACAGTCCGCACACCGCGCAAAGCGAGACGAAGGCACCACAACCCCTTATTTGCTCCGCGGTCTTGCTCTCAGCATCTATTTGCACTGGATTGAGAAACACTTTACTTTTGTGATAAACTTTGAGGTGTCCAGGAACATGAGTCAACTATAAGCTTTTTCTATGCACTTCGGCCAAGCATCACCATGAGGCAACTGCTGTCAATGCCAAGTCCAAACATACTGCGCATGATTAGGCCGATCATTTCAGCTCGGACCTTGGGAGACTGACAGATTGATAAGATTGCAGAATTAGGTCTCAATCGCGGAAAACACTTATTGATCGTATAACTATATACAGTAAACATTTGATGCCTGAATCCCATCAACGTGGCTGTCTTGTCTGATAATTCTATCCAACTCTGGGTGCTACTCTCTCTGGGTCAGCCTTTCCATTATATAGCAAATTGGGCGTTTCCTTCTTCGTCTTGCCAGTCCAGTTGCGCCAAGCTACCCTGATCAAGGGGGACACGGAATTGCTTGGAATGAAGAAACACACGCGGAGGCGACAACAGGTGGCGCGGACTATGAGCCAGCGCGCTGCGATCAGGCAAGCAGTTGCGCATAGGAACGCAAGTGACAAGACTCCATACAAATGCTTGTTCTGCTCTGGTTGCTCCACTCGCCCATTTCATCTTCTACAGTAGTTACATCTTTGGCCTTTCCTGGTCGGTGACCAGAACCAAAAACAACCAAACCCAGCAGGCACAACAGAATCAGCAAACAAACTGTTGAAGTGACCCGCTGCTGTCTGATAAAACTCTACAGCATGTTTGTTCTTTCAACCTTAGGAGCAAGGACGCCAGTAGGGGCTCCTGGCCTTACTACTAGGAACAAGAAGCTACTACTATATAGGAGCTCCTGGCATCGCTACTAGGAGCAAGGACGCTATTAGGGGCTCCTGGCCTTACTGCTAGGAACAAGAAGCTACTAGGGGCTCCTGGCATCGCTTCTGGGAGCAAGGACGCCACTAGGGGCTCCTG